TTAAGGACGAAACACATTACACGAAAACTTTTTCCACTTTGATATGTAAAACTTTTAATATTTTTTTCCCGCCTAAAACACTTATGCATGCATGTGTTTGTGTATTTATATGTGTGTATGCTGTTGTGTGCAGCAGTGTATCTCCATTTAATATTAATGTATTTTTGTATGCGTAGACAAATTTTGATGGATCATTTCTCGACAGGACACCACCATCTGCAATTGATCCTTTTATATCTCAGCTTGGGGCGGACGCCTTGACTTGTCTTTACCCCCACAAAAAATATCTTTCTACTCAGATAAATGATTATTTCTCGGGCCAAAGTTCAAATCTGCAACCATCGTGCATCTAGGAAACATGTATTCCAAACGATATCAAATGGCACCTGGATTATGCACAGGTCTCCGTTTCCTTTTTTTTATTAGAAAAGTTCATAGAAACCACGGGAAAGTCATAGAACGTGACTTGGAGGCGGGGAACTTGTGCCCCAGGGTCGAAACGCTTCGCAAAAAATTACAAATTGTCTCAATCGTAAAACTGGATAAATTAATTATTAATCCAAGGAAAAAGAGAGCTTAAATTCTCTAATCGTCGAGTAAGCTTTAAAGAATCTAATAGCATATAATATCGAATTATATATATATATATATATATATATATATATATATATATATATATATATATATATATAATTAATCAGAACTGAAACAGTAGTATTAAAAAGTGTTCGATACTCATATAAAAATATATACTTTATTTTCCATATTTTTGCTACACGCGCTTAGGTTCTTGTGACCTTCATCATGCGAAGAGTGTCATTTCTACATATTATTGAAAGAAATTATTTTTTCTTTGTTTTCGCATGTTTAACCATTGTCTTTTGGGTGTAGTAGTAATCCAAATTTTTTTGGAATTGTGGAGATCTTCTTCTGATTAAGAAGTAATAAAACAATTTGCATTGCTCAGAGAAATGGCGATGGAAGGAGGTTTTTGTTCTTATCTTTTTATGATCTCTGTATCTCCATTTTTGTGTATTGTGTGTGTGTTTTTGATACTATGTGTATACGTATTCCTTCTCCATACATATATATTATTTTGTTACAATGTGTGTGTGTGTGCGTGTTTGTGCGGTCGTCAGTGTGTTTGTTTTTGTTAGTATGTGTGTATATAATGTTAGTATGTGTGTATATATTCGTTCTCCGTTTCTATGTGTATGTGTGTGTTCGGCCATTATGTGTTTACGTGTGTGGGGTTATAATTTGTTTATTGCTGGTTTAAATTTGTCTTTAAATTTGTTTTCCTTGTATTTGTAGGTAAGAATGATTGTCTGTCTGATATATTAACAGGGTCAGGGTTAAATTTGTAGATGTGTTGTGATATAAAGGGTTTCCCGTTGTCTGGTAATTTAATATTGCTTTTGTGAAGGGGAACTGTTGTTTAGTTCTTGGGGGATACCTATATAGGACTTGTTGCATTTTGTGCGCGTGAGTTCCTAAATAACATTTTTGGATTTGCAGTTTTTCTTTATTGTGAATGTTGTGGGGTCTTTAGAAGTTTAGGAGTTTTCTTCTATAATTATTTCACAAACCCCACTTCTTTTCTTGTTGCATTTTGTGTTGGTTAAATTTGGATGAGGTTAATGTGTGTTTTAGGGTTTTTTGATTTGCGCTGGCATTCAATTATTTTGTTTGTTTTAGTACATTTTTCATTTTATCATTCTTGCTAAGTAGGCCTAGATGTTTTGTAATTTCTGTAAATAGTTCTGGATTGTTCTTGTGTATGTTGAGACATATGCTAGAATTTGTTCGACGTTGCGTTTCTTTGGATTTCGTAGTTGGTCTAAAGGTATTTCTTTCTGCTAATTCAAAATCTTTGCTTATTAGTGTTGTGGGGTAGCCTCATTTTTTGAGAGTTTTATGTAGTTCTTCCAGACGGGCTGTTTGGGAGGCGTTTGTCGGACATAATAGTGCAAATCCTATTTGCTAGGGAATAGGGGATGGATTTAAGACAGTTTTGGGTGATGACTCTTGAAATGAAGGTATTGTTGGGTGTCTGTAGGTTTTTGGTAGATATCTGTGATTATGTGGTTGTTTTTATTTCCAATGAGTATATCTAAAAATGGTAATTCGTTAAAATTATATTCTTGGGAGAATTTAATCTTCGGGTTTAAGTTTTGAAGAAGAATGTGAAATTGTTAATATCGCCACATGATCGTTTTTAGAAAATCATCAATCATCTAAGTATCGCTTCCAAGATTTAGTGAAATGGTTTTTTTATATTTGTTCTATCTTTTCATACAGGTTTTCCTCTATGCAAGCTAATGTTAGGGAAGCATATGTTGGTGTTATTTTTGTTCCCATTGCAGTACCCTGGGTTTGGATATAGTTTTTGTTATCAAATTCAAAAGTGTTATTTTTCAGGATTGGGTTATACTATCGACAATGAATTCCTTAGTGAATCTGGGATGTAGTATTTTTGGATGTTTTTCAATCCAGAATGAAATTTACTGTTTCCCTAATTCATGTGATATGTTGCTATATAGGCTACTGATGTCAAACGTTGCCATAAGTATTCCCCGTTCTACTTTTTGTGGTATGGAGTTAAGGAAGTGTATAAGCGTCTCTGATGTAGCTCTTAATCTGTCTAGTAAATGAGCTGTAGTATGGTGTCTATTAAGCTACTGAACGTAAAGTCACTGGGTTTAGGATGTTAATACATTCAAATTTTTGTGTCTGGATATCTGCTTTTATTTCACTCGATTTGTGAATTTTCGGTATTACGTAGAAATTGTTAGTTTTTGGGATGAAAATTATTAGGAAACCCCTTTTTTTTGTAAATATCTCATTATGTGTTGTGCAGAGTTTTGTAATTTTTGATATAATGTTTTTGTCTATGTTGGTGTTGATTAATTTATAGTTATTTTTATTCGTGCGGAATTTTTACTCTATAGTATATTTTGTCCATGATTGATATAGCCCTGCCTTTGTCTGCTTCTTTTCTAAGAATGTTGTTATTTCTCTGGATGCTCTCAAAGGCTAGTCTTTGTCTGTATGTAAGGTTGTTGAATGGTCTGGATTTTTCTTGTAGATTGGGTTTCAAGAGTTTTTCAAAAAATATGTTTAGTTCATTTGTATTACTATTTTTGTTTTGGGAAGAATTTGTATTTATTTTTTACTAATGAGTCATCTGTAATGCTTTCGTTATAATTAAATGTTTCTTTTAGTCTCGGTTTGCGTTCAAATTCTCTAAGATCTTTTTAGGTCTGTTATATTGCTTTTCGAGGTAGGGCAGAATTTTAGTCCTAATAAATTGTTTTCGTCCTTTGTAAGTGTGTTGACAAGGACAACGCTCCACAACCAGTCACAAAAGCTGAACTAAAAGGAAGTAATGCTGTAAATGTGGTGAGGTCGTTGGTGTGTTATTCATTTAGAGCGTTTCAAACGCAGTGAATCATTAAATACACATTCATAAGTCCAACAGCTACAACGTGTCGAAAAGCAACCGGCACTTGTCAATGGAAAAATGCTGTATAATGCGCATACACCAAGATTAACAGAGAAACATCAACATTTTAGAACTCGGTTAGTTTGTTCTAACGCACCCGACATATTCACCAAACATTCTGCCAACCAAAATGGTAGTTAGTCTTTACACCAGACCAAAAATGGAGTAATGGTGCCATCTCTGGAGCTGTTCGGTCCTCACTTACCTTTCTTGGTAGAGTTCAAAACGTCTACGCGTCCGTGTGATGAATTATTTTCCACACAACTCTTTTCCAAAAGACTTGCCAGACAATATTTTCTCGCCAGAATACATAATGCACGTTTATAAATCATAAAAAAATGTACCAACGTGGAGGAATCGGTTCGATATTCGCAAGTTTTACCAACTACAACAAAGACCTGATGAAGGCCTGGGGGTTTACCATAGTCGAAATGTTATGACGTGAAAAACCAAGGTGAGTTTTTTGTTCTTATCTTTTTATGATCTCTGAATCTTTTTAAAATTATCTCCATTTTTTGTGTCTGACTATTGAGTACAATACAGATGATTTCTCATATCAAAAATACATACAAAATCCCCAGTGTGTTTAATTTCTGGATTGACTTGAGACTACCATATCTTAGAACTTAGAAGAATAGAAACCAAGTCTTAGATCATTTTTATCTCTTATAGGAGTTTAGATGTGGCACAAGGCCGAAAGTAAAAAACATCCAGCGAAAATCGAAATCATTACTCAGGCATAACTGATCGAGCAAAACCATCTTGCTAACCATTATACCACAGCGAAGTGCCCGTAAATGATTTGCTAAGCGTGTCTTAAATGTGGCACAAGGCCGAAAATGTTGAGAACCTAGTGAGGATCCAACTCACCACTCAGTCATAATTGATCTAGCGAGATAAGCTTGTAAACTATTACAACAAGGAAGAACGGTGCTTTACAAATTATTCTGTTTGACTCTTAGCTAATGAAGAGTGCTCAGCCGATGTTGCCTTGTGCCAAGCTAATTGTATTATATATCAACATGTTTGACGTTTTATTAGAACGCGTGAAAGTTGATCTTTTTGACGAATTTAAAAGTTAGAGCTGAGGTACGGGTGTTTTTCTCATAGGGGTACGGAAAAAAATCTGTTATGCAATGTGTATTGAACAAAATATACGGGTGGAACAAAGCGAGCCACTTCGAAGCGTATGGCGTTGAGAAGTGGTTCGACTGAAAGTAAATAGTAAGATAAAAAAAAGTATGAAATGTGAGCGAGAATGAGAGAGGGAGGGGGAGAGGCAAAAAACATTGTATGTAGGAGGAAAAGCATTTATAGTTTCATCGCTGACGGGTTATTATATTTTCTTATCGTCAGTTGAATCTTTGCAATATGTCTGCAGTTCCGGTGTTGGCTGACTTCCGCTTTTATTTTGTCAAAACTTCGATTATTATCTCTCCCTTTCTTTCACTTACGAGTTACATTTCTTTATTTGTTTCATTTCTGGAGTTTGGGCATGAAACTTCTTTCTTTCTTTTTTCTTCCGTCTTCCTTTGATTGTTTCTTCTTCTTTTCTTTACTTCCTCACCTTTTCTTTCTTTCTTTCTTTCTTTCGTCATTTCTTTCTTTCGTCATTTCTTTCTTTCTTTCTTTCTTTCTTTTCCTTATTTTGTTTATTTGTTTGTTTGTTTCTTTCTTCTCATTTTCGTTTATTTTTCTCGCTTTTTTTCTTTCTTCCTTTTTTCTTTCGTCCTTTCTTTCTTTCTTCTCCTTTGTTTGTTTGTTTCTTTCTTTCTTCTCGTTTTCTTTATTTCCTCTCCTTTTCTTTCTTTCTTTCTTTCTTTCTTTCTTTCTTTCTTTCTTTCTTTCTTTCTTCTCCTTTTCTTTGTTTATTTCTTTCTTTCTTCTCATTTTCTTTATTTCCTCTCATTTTCTTTCTTTCTTCCTTTCGTTCTTTCTCCATTTCTTTCGTCGTTTCTTTCTTTCTTTCTTCTTCTTTTCTTTGTTTGTTTATTTCTTTCTTTCTTTCTTCTCATTTTCTTTATTTCCTCTCATTTTCTTTCTTTCTTTCTTTCTTTCTTTCTTTCTTTCTTTCGTCATTTCTTTCTTTCTTTCTACCCCTTTTGTTTGTTTGTTTGTTTTTTGTTTGTTTGTTTCTTTCTTTCTTTTAATTTCCTACTTTCTTTCTTCTCTTGTTTTTCTTTCATTCTTTCTTCTCCCTTTTTTTTCTTTTGGATCTCACTGCTTTCTTCCTTTATTGTTTTCTTTTTTAATTTAAGCTTTTCAGATTACATCTTTATATAAGTGACAATACACCACAGGCTACCACGTTAATATATTAGTGGTAAGACCCGAAACGACACCCACTCTCACGTGAATACGCGATACTTGAATGTCACCAAATAAACCTAACGGATATCAGTCTGTTTAACCAACAAAAGTTCTCGGATAATGGATTATGAAAATATTGTATCAAGAAGAGCGAAAACCCCATTGATTGTCGCTCAGGTGTTTGTTTTTGTTGATGTCTTCAACACCTTTCTTGATAGTTATAGCCTCAAAAAGCTAATGACAGTACGGAAGGTGATGGGACGAGGACATCGTAACGAGGGCGAGGGATCACCCGCGTTCTTTTACACGGGGCATTTGCTAAACACCTTTCGATGGGCTTTGGAAACATTTCTTCTTAATGCAGCAGTTAGATAGCTTAACAAAGATTGGAGATTCTGGTCCAAGATTCTTGGGAAAAACAGCATAGGTTTTCTTCGGACCATTAACCTTCATAGAATCAAGTCTAGAAAGCACCAAAGCCGATATCAGAGATATCATAAAGCTTGTGTTCCCTCGTGTGGATTGGTTGATTTGATTGTTTAACGACATAAAGGTCCTTATAGGTCATTTAATGCCGACATTTTCTTCAGAGTTTCGAAGTAATAAAAATAGGTTATTCTGCTTTCACAATTGATTACATGGTAGATGATAATCAGTTTTTGTCCATATACATGTTTGTGTGGACTAGAGGGGGACGTGTGTGTTTTATGTTGTTTTGTTGAAGTTATAATTTAGAATACAGTTTGATTTCTTTAAGAAATTCTCGGATTTTATATGGATTCCTTCATTTTAGTTTATAGTTTATTTAATGCCGAAATCTAAATATTTTGAACACAATTTTATGCCTTCAGTTACAGATAAATATATTGCTGGTCTTTTTATTATAAAAAATATTTTTAGACTTTCATTGTGTTTTGTTTTTGTTTTTGTTTGTGGTCTCACTATTTGCCCATAGCTGGGACCCTAACAGGTGCTACCACCTCGGATCAAGGAGGACCTGAGAACAACAGCAGTTAGGAGGTGGTCAAAACCTTCAATCTCCCGATCAGAGGCCTTGCTGCCAGATATAGTTTATCATTATGTCCAGGAATACCGTGATGCGGAGGAAGTAAAAAAAAATGGTGTTTGTGGTCTAACCTAGAGTTAGAAGATGTTCATAGAAAAGAGTTGAGCTTTATCCTACGAGAATGAGATAAAATCAAGCTAATTTAAATCGGAGAGTAGTGACGGGTTGCCTCTATTGAGGATTGAGTACGTCATTTTCCAGAACTCGTGGGATACAAGTTCATTTTTTTTTTTTTGTTGTTCTATTTAAGTTTGGACTCCCTGCGCATAGCTGCTAATTGCATTTTCTGAGCTCTCTTGCAGTGATTGCACGCTGTTTTTAATGAGGTAAGCGTTATGCAACACCGTTCCAACTAATAAAGACGTAAACACTGTCCGTATGACATTCAAACATGAACCAGAATTCGCTATTTGGATTTTCGAATTCCAGTCGAATCCATTACATTCACTTATGTGCTAATATTCTTGGCTATTAGTACATAAGGGATGAATCATATTCTTCTCCCACAAGCTATAGGTAAATAGTAGGATAAACCGGGTTCTATGGCGTTGGATGGCAACTGGTCTAGCGTAGAAAGAAATGGCAACCTACTACGGGTAAAAATCTGCCTCCTCAGTCATGTATCACGCATGGCACATAACTGACTGATAAAGCTTTCTGTATGGTTGAGAATCCACTCGAAAAATGAGGGAGGCTGTTCTCGTTTTTGAATAGATCTGAGAGAAGGGCATTACGCATTGCTTGATCTGAAGCAGTCCTTAACATTTGTGTTATATATCGATATATATATATATATATATATATATATATATCCTATAAAATGATACTTCTGAGGTGATCATTGGCTTTTGCATCAACCTTGAAGTCCATCAAGGAATGGTTTGTGATAGCCAAGAGAGGCAACACATCTGTGTAACATTTATCAGGGAATGAGGTAAGGTGGGGGTTATATTATATATATATATATATATATATATATATATATATATATATATATATTAAACTATTGTATATGAACTAGCTATATATATATATATATATATATATATATATATATATATATATATATATATCCTGATTGATTGATTGATTTAAAATATCATACTCAAATATTCAGATACCTATATATATTATCAAAGGAAGGATTTTTGAATGAGTAATCTGGGTGAATATATATATATATATATATATATATATATATATATATATATATATATATATGAAGAAATATATTTTTAAAGTGTGCTATATTTATGGATAAAGTGCTCAATATCAGAGATAGAGCAATCGTCAGGCCGCGACGATTGCGTCCAGCATGAAACCGCCTGTCGCCTCTGAATATAGGGTGTAAATGTATATATAGAGTGTATCCAAAATACCTTTACAAGATTTGGGGTGGATCCATCAAACCAAAACAAGGACAAAAGTCCAAAAACATATCGCATGAAAGAGAATGAGAAGACGTTAGAAAGAGCTGGAAATTCAATCCTAAACCGGAAACAAGGAATAAAGCTCTACTCCTCTCCAATAAATGGGAAAGAAGTGTGAACAGGGCAATAGGCAAACCTATCTACTCCTACTAATTAACAAGGTTGATTCTGTGTAAGCAAGGGAAGTGTAATTTTAGACCTAACCAACACCTTCCTCAATATGATATCTGCATATTCTTCCATTGTTAAACGAAATATTTCTCAGTTAACTCGCTACTATAAAAGTTAAACGTTGAATACAGACTAACCACAAATGTACACAAATGACAAATGTAACCTAGTCTACATGGCAACACAGTGCCATCAACCGTAAACTTTCTTTAAATCCAAAAACGAAAGATTTATGGACATATGTTTATATGGACTTTTCTTCCTGTATTTGTGTGATGAACCTGCCCACAATTTTGTAAAAGTATTTTCGATAGGCCATATATATATATATATATATATATATATGAATTAGGATCAAAAATATAGATCAAATATGAATCGGAATCCGACAGAATAAGATAAAGATCAAAAAGGAAACGTTTATCAATCTAACATGTTTCACTTGAAGAAAAGTGAAACATTAAATTGATGAACATTACCTATTTGTTCTTTATCTTATCATATACATCCTTTTGGGAAAAAATTGCAATCAGTTTTCGAATTTAGGAAAAGGTGCCAAAAGTTTCAATAAGTGTGAATTGTTCAAATTCCAAATTCTAATGTTTAGTCATTTCGTGATATTTTAGGAAATGAGTCTAACTGAGAAGTTTTCAAATCTTCATCAGATTTTAAATTTATTTGTCCAAATTTTGGAACAATCTGTATGTTGCATTATTCAATAGCAGAATATATATATATATATATATATATATATATATATATATATATGTAAAAGGCAAAAGGAAAACTGTAATAGTAGATTTAATACGGTGAAACAAGTGTTATTGCCAAAAATCTACCCCTTTTGTTCAATTCGAAACGTTCAAGAAGAGACAGATTGCTGACCTTCGAGAGGCTTTAACTCAATATTAAAGCCATAAAGAATGCATTCAAACATTAAACAGACTGGTTTTGACCTCAGCCTCAATCTTATATTTACACTGACTTTCTACGTAATACTGAACTCATATATCCATAAATGTAGCGTACCTTAAAATACTTTTTCTTTGGAGAAGAGATTATATCCCTC